GTTGCGGCAGCCGCGACAAAGCCACCGCCAAAGACAGCAGCAGGCACAGCATACAACCAGGGATACTCGGGAGGGTCTGTTGGTCGCTTGAACATATCAAGCATTCGCTTCGTAATGACGAAGCCGCCCGAGATGTTGACGAAAGCTAGCAGGACAGACAGAGCACCAAATACCTGGGGGATGGTCTGTGGGAAGATGCCCCCGCCCAACACGAAAAGACCACCAACGCCGACCATTCCTGCGACCGGTGTCAGCGCTTGTCATTTTTTTGACAGAGACACATATTACCTGAAATGGCATTGGTGACACTCATCAGCGGCGAGTGCAAAGCCGGAGCCACGCCCCATACAACGCGATAGCCGATGAGCGAGGCGAGCGAGAAGGTGAAGAGGTTGCTCATGAAGAGTGGGCCTGTGACGGTACCAAGAGCCAGCGCAGTTCCCATGCCAGCAGTCACAGTAGCAACCTCTCTGGACGTCTTCTGGAAGGGCGTTACTGCAACGATCTCCGCTTCCTTCGTGGGCGAGGCAGCTTGAGCCGGTGCTGGGGGAGGAGCCGGCCTGGGAGGTGGCGGTAAAATCTCTCCCTTCTGGGTGACAATCGCACCGCGAACAACTTCGTCAGAAAGATCAATTCCAAATTCCTTCTCTTTTGGCGCCATTGAGAGCAAGAATTTGGTAATGTTGTTCGAGTAAAGCGTAGACGATTGGGTAGGGAGTCTCGACGGCAGGTCAGTGTAGCCTGGGAAGAATTAGCAATCGTGACGAGGAAACCGCCTTGTTCATTAGTCGACATACCAATAATCTTGACGTCCTTGTAGACAGTCAGCTCTCCGGGCTTCGTCTTCTCACAGTTACCTCCGGCCTCGGCAGCCAGATCAACCACAACAGATCCAGGCTTCATCAGCTCAAGCATAGACTTGAGGATGAGCTTGGGGGCAGGCTTTCCGGGAATCAGGGCCGTAGTAATGATGATATCGACTTCACGAGCCTGTTCGTGGAATAGCTTCATTTCAGCCTTGATAAATTCCTTGGACATCTCCTTGGCATAGCCACCAGCGCCAGAGCCGTCTTCCTTAAAGTCGACCTCGATGAATTCCGCACCTAGTGACTGGACTTGCTCGCGAGCAGCTGGCCGAGTATCAAAGCCTCGGACAACGGCACCGAGTCGCCTGGCGGTTGCAATGGCACTAAGGCCAGCGACACCAGCGCCGATGACGAGGACCTTGCAGGGTGGGATCTTGCCAGCAGCGGTGACCTGACCAGTCAGGAACCGGCCAAAATTGTTCGAGGCCTCCAAAACGGCTTTGTAGCCAGCAATGTTGGCCATGGAGCTCAGTGCATCGAAGACTTGGGCACGGGAGATGCGAGGAATAAGATCCATGGCGAAAGCCGTCGCTTCCTGGGCAGCGAGCTTTTCGACGATGGGCCTGTTCTGTGCGGGCTGCAAGAACGAAATGACAGTTTGCGAGGGCTTCATGACCTCGATCTCGGCAGGAATGGGGCTTCGGACCTTGAGAACAATGTCGGCGCCGGTCCAGACGTCATTGGCCGAGTCGACAAGAGTTGCACCAGCTTCGCGGTAGACATCATCAAGGAAGTCAGCCTCGGCGCCCGCGCCGCGCTCGACGAGCACCTTGGAGAAGCCCTTCTTGAGGAGCAAAGCAACATTCTGAGGAGAGAGGGCGACGCGGCGTTCGTTCAAGAAAATCTCTTTGGGGACGCCGACGGTGAGTTGACTGTAGGGAACGGAGTGAGTGGCTGGCAGCTCCGGTTCGGCTGCCTGTTCAGGCGCAGGCGTGCCTGTCACGACAGAAGCATGGCGGACGAGTTGAAGAGGCTTCGCGTGCGCTGGAACAATCGCGGTTGTGCGACTCGGTCGCAACGTACTCTTCCAGCGCGTCGGATGGGTGCTATGGATGCTGGTAGATCGAGGCGTAGGCAAACTCGCACCTGTAGCGAGAACATCAGTACAAAAGCGGACACCAAGTCGAGCACGAAAGCAGAGTTCGCCGGCCTACCCGTAGCATTGGGCCACGATCGCGAGGCGAAAATTCCAGTGGCAGAAAAATTACAGACGACATGGGCCGTTGCCGGCCGAAGAAGCGTGAGCGATATCATGGTGGACTACAAAGATCAGGCGTCCAGGCTGAGGAAGCCAGAGTGACGAGCTGAGACGGAGGCGTTCATGTGTGGTTCATGCAAGTCGTTGTCAATGAGCACGGAAATCGATGACACCTAGCGACTGAGGAGGGGCTGAAAGGAGACGGGGAAGAGAAAGGAGGAAAGAAGGAGTCTAGGACGAGATTGAGTTCGAGTTCGCACGAGGGAGAGCTCCTCGTCATCCGAGTGGCAGATCTATTACCCCTCAAGCCAAGGACAAGGAGTCAAGGAGGGGTTTGTGCCTGGGCTGGCGCGCGTGGCAGAAGGACGTTTTGAAGCTCAAAGGTGACGGCGTCGGGGCCGCTGAAGCGCGATCGGACGGATCATGTGGCAGAATATGTGCCGTGGGAGCCAAAGGGGGATCGACCGTTGGAGAAGGATGCAGCTGGCGCGGCTGGGATGGGATGGTGTTTGGAGGAGAGTGGCCCTGGATGAAAGGAAGGGAGGGTTGGCTGGCTGCCTGAGATACCTAGGTAGTAGTACTGGATGTATACGGAGGGACATTCTTGCCCTGAGGATACAACCATTGGCACAGTCGTCACTGGTCACCTGTGCCGCGCCCAGCGCGACCGAGCTCCCCGGGAAGGAAGTGCAGCAGGTGGGGTAACGTCCTTGGCGCTGCGCTGTGGATGTGCGGGGTTAGGCAGGGGTGGGCAAGAGACAGTCCTGTGGGTGTGGATGTGGGGGGAAAGAGCACCTCTGATGCTGCTGCCTTCCATTCTCAGGTTCACCTGCCTATTTACTTGGGAAATCCTGCTGCTAGGTCGCATCCAGACTCACCTGCCCAGACGCCCTGTGCCGCACCATGTCTGGGAAGTACCAGTGAGCAAACCTGCTGTGGCACGTCAAGAGGCATGCCGATGATGCAGCGTAAGACGTTCACCTGCAGCGGCAGCATGCGATGTCACCACAACAGTGGTGCAAAGATCCTTTCGGCCGGCAATGAAGACCAAGGTGCAGGAACTCCTCTGTACATTGGCCATCACGCTTTTGGGTTTGTATAACGAAGTGTATTATCCAGCCAACCTTCGAATTATGCATGCTACGCAGGGCCCAGAGTATGGAACTGTTACTCCATACGAGTGCACCATCTTTGGATCAACTCTACCTCGGCTGAATTCTGGCGGCACTCAACTCATTGATCTTGAGAACTGACTGATACGCCCAATGGGCCTGCACGACAAATCACGCATTCGGACCAGGACAAGACCACCTTCATGCGTAAATCACAGAGAATAGACGAGACAGGCATCGTCGTAATAAGTGCGTGTGTAAACATGTTACGCCTGATTTTATACTTGGGATTTCAAGTATCTGGCTTGTTTTCTGGGAACATTTTTCGGTACCTGTGTGGCGGGGCACTCCACCACCTCAGTTTTGTGGCAGCATACATGATATTGAAGCCCTGAGCGGGAGGTTTTTCTTTAAAAATAGAATACTTGTGTCATTCAAAGCATTAGTTCTTGTAAAGTAAGAAACTTCGTCTGCAGCGTCTTTATTAAATACACTATCACAAGCCTTGACTCGAAATTGGATCTTGCATCGATTACGAACTGAAGCACACCACGCTCAGAGAAATAAAAAACGCGTCAAAATATCAAATAACCATCATGCCCACGACAGTCTCGCGATGGACGCAGTTACCGCAATCCGCGGCCGGGATGAAGCAACCTCGGGATACCGAGAGTTGACCGAGCTTTGGAGGTCCATGCCCACTCGGAGAATTTGATTTCACCCCCTTCTCATTCGCCAATCAGGCCCACTTTCCCCTTCACCGAACCCATCTCGGTCAAGGCATACACAGCTGCCACCCTGGAAAAACACTTTTCGCGCAGCTCCGCCGAGAAACCACAGGCCAATCGACCCAAGCTCAATCGAACCTCACCATCATACCCGCGACCACCAACGCACGAAACCACCCACCCCGACCGCAGCCGGCGACACTCGCGCCCTCCCAATCGAGATCCGATCCCCTCCAGCTCGCCGCCTCCGAATCAACACACAACGCCTATACAAAGGCCCATCATGGTCTCCCGCATCCTCTTCTGGTCCGGCTTCGGTGCGTCACAATAACCCAGACTCCTCAAACACGCCCTGTCCCTTTCGCTGGATCCCGCAACCCACGCCTCCCCATCCGCACCTCCCGCCAGAGCAGCTACTAACCCGGAACCCGCAGGCTTCGCCGTCCGCTTCTGGCAGATGGGCATCGAGATGCGCCCCTTCTTCACCCGCAAGACCCTCTGGCCTTACCCCATCTACACGGCCGCCGGCGGCGCCTTCGGATACTGGCTCCAGGGCGTCGACGACAGGCAGACGGCCACGCTGACGGAGCGCAAGGCCGTGCTTCTCGAGAAGCGCGCGCGCAGGGCGGAGAAGGAGGTCGAGGCTCCCTCGGGCGCGGCACAGTCTGTTTGAGTAGCAGGTCGAAAGTGAGGGAGCGACGATCGAAGTGAATTTTTGTGCGTGGTGGAAAACATGCCGCACGGCAGGCAACGCCGCTTGACGGATCAATCATCTCGTCGGCCCAATGGCAGCGGCGAGTGTAAATATGGCTCTGGGGTGTGGAATTGAATCTTTGAACGAACTGCAGCACGATGTTGACTTCCTAAGTGGCTTCGAATGTTATGGATGGGCACCGAGAGGGAACGACCTTTTGCACATGTTCAAACTGGGGAAGAAATCGAGTGTCAAAGGGGTCAACCCCCCCGACAGCGGTCAATTGGGCATCTGGATATTCCGCCAGACGGCTGGAGACCTATCGAACTCCAGACAGGTTGGCCTAGCTATCACCACCAACACAGCATCCCCCAACGCCTCCAATGCATCGTATCCCCGTCCTTACAATTCCTCCAGCTTTCGCAAAATGGCAGCTACAGAAGATGTCGCCGTGTTGCCCAGCTCTGTGATCACCGCCGTAACATGCTTATCCTGCGTCGTGTCAAACAGCAGCCTGAACCCGTCGTTCGAGTTGTTTTCGGGGTCAATCTCGTTGTACGTGAGTGAGTCCATCGCCACCCTCTCGGTAAAGTTAATCGTCTCCGACAGACCGACGACCTGGACGCCGAGATCTTGCGCTGCGATCGCCACATCGCATGTTCCTGCCCTCGCGTACATGGCGCCGTTGCTGAACATGGCCTCAGCACCAACAAGCACCATGTCCGTGTTGGCGAGATGAGCGCGCAGGGCGTTGAGACCGGGCACGTAGATGACCGAGAGGCCGTCTGCGCGAAGAGACTTGGCAAGCTCTTTGCCCGTGAGCTCAAAGGGATCGTCAATAATAATGGCAGTAAACTGTTTGCCCTGCTCAACGTGAGCGTGGCGGAAGGCGCGTTGAACAAGAGGATGATGAGCATAGGTGAGAATCGTCTCGCCATCCGTGATGAGGGCGGCGGCCGTCTCGATAATGACTTCGTCGGCGAGGTGAACACGCTCGCGGAGGAAGTTGTCGATGGACTCGTGCAGAAGCTTGCGTGCCTCGTAATCGGGGAGGTCAATGTCGATCTTGCTGATCTGGAGCTTGAGCCAACGGACGGCATTGCCCATGGAGAAGCACATGGGCCGACATGCTGACAGATACTCAACCTGCGGGTTGAGAATGTGGGAGGTGAAATGCCTGGAGAAGGTGTTGCCCTGAGGCGTCGCATAAGAGTCGATGACCTGCGTAGGCGTGTCAGCATGGTGATGTATCATTCAACATGGCACAAACCGGCACCTTACCTTCTTGAAGGCAAGCAGCGTGGCCTCCAGCCGCGCCGTACTGTCGCTCACAGAAAAAGCGGCCATTTGCTGGCCGAGCAACAGCATGGCCGGATGCACGTCCTTATCGGCATGGGTCAGTGGTGTCCTCTTGGCCACGGACAGGTGGCTGTAGCATTCTGGTATCGTCGGCTTGACCTCCTTCACGACAGGCACCACGACGGCGGCCTGTTTCGTCTGCTGCCCTCGCGCGCCCGCTCCGCCGGCGGCCTGGGGCCCGTCCTGCTTCTGCTTTGATTTTCCGCCCTTCGCGTCGCCGCCCACCTGTGCTTGCTGGCCTCCAGGCCCACCGGAAGGAGCAGCTGCTGGCTGTGCTGCTTTTTGCTGGGCTCTCCTTGCCTGCTTCTCGGCTTTGGCCTTTGCCTTCAATTCCGCGCCCGAAAGCTTCTTCTCGCCCTCTGCCGCCGGGGCTCCTGTGCCCTTCGAGTCCTTGCCGCTCTTGGCAGGTTTGGCGGCGGATGTCTCCTTTGGTGTTTCCTTCGGTTGCTCAACCGCGACAGCAGCAGTCGCAATCTCGTTTTGCGGAGCGCCGGGCGCATTCTCCCCCTCGGTCGCCATATTTTTCGTGTCTGACGGTGCGCTGCACTCTAGAGCTGTCGTTGCGTCGAGGAGGTATGCGTCGATGGGAGAAAGCGAGGGGTTCCAGAGGAAGTCGCCCAAGGTGTGGTGTGCTCGCTAAAAGGGCCCGATGGAGGAAAATAACGTCTTTCCGTACAAGCCGTACAAGTCTAGTCGTAGGTTCAGGCGATCCAAGAAGTTACGAGAGCTTCGCGAGGCGTTGTATTGTCGCGCTGGAGCGTCGAGAAGATGGTTGTCGAGCTGAATTCGGAAAATTGAAGGCTGAGTCACATGGATTTGTCGCACCCAATGCTTTTGCTGGTGGGAGGGGGAAACAAGTGCATCAAGGACCCCGCGTTGGTGGGGCCGCTAGTGGGCAGCTTCACAGCCGCCGTGACCTCACCTTGCACACCTACGCCAGGGTCACTTCTGATGCTTGAAACCCTCGTTCATGGATATGGAACTCAAATCTCGAGCGAAAAGGTCTTCTTATGCCCTTTAGTTTTGGCTCTGTAGTCTGTTTTTCCATCATTGTGTAATCAACTCCCACTTTCTGTTGGCTGCGTGCGCAGCTCCAAGCGTGGGGGCTAACCTTCTACAGAGCCTTAAACTTGAGAATATCAGTACTGTTGACCCAGCATAAGACTCACTCGTTGTGGCCAGCCATGAACTGTAGCTGAAGAGGAAGGACGGCTTCTGGGTTGTGACACTAGAATAAGGTGCAACTTTCAAGGATACGCAGCTCAAGTCGGCTCATGTAGCTGAGAAGAAATGCCCTTGAATTGGTTGACCTTGCAAGATCAAAGTGTGACTGCGCAGCGCGGCCGCAACTCAAGTACCCTTGGTCGTCGGGTGCCTGAACAACAGAACATGAGCACGACTAATCTACCAGTAGATGGAACACATAGCACCAGAATCCTGCGATGCGGACAACAATGCTGTGATTTTGATTGGGAAGATGTTGACCAGAGAAAAAGGTCAAAAACTCATCGATGACAAAACAAATAACAAAAGAACATGAACAACATGATGAGAAGCATCTTCACTTCGTGAGGAACGATGAGCCCTGGGAAAAGACGCAACAAAAGAGATCAAAGGGAAAATGCAAAAGATTTATCTTAGCAACTGGACGTTTCGATCGTCCGACCTCCGGGTTATGAGCCCGGCGCGCTTCCGCTGCGCCAAGTTGCTTTGTTGGATGATTAGTCATCGAAAGTCCAGGCTCATAGCCCGTCAGAACCATGTCAAAGGAGGCCAGGCAGCTTGACGCTGCTGCAGATATGGTTCACATGGTAGAAAGAGTATCCTCAAAGTCGCAATATATTTCCAAGGTATCTCCATCTGTTGACGCGTCCAAAGGGAATGTCTCTTAGCTCTCAGCGCCTTCCTGAGCTTCCTTAGGGGTAGCCTCCGCCTCTGCCTTCGCCTTGCCCTTGACCTTGACCTCCTCCTTCGGTGCCACACCTTCGACATAGATACGGAATGACTTGCCCAGCTCGCCTTCTCTCGCCTTCCTCTCCCTGGCCCCCGGCACCTCGGCCACCGCCGCCCCCACAGCCTTGACGACGGCCGCCATCTCCTCCTGCGTCGCCTTCCTGGAGCCCTTCTTCTTCGCCAGCGTCACGTCTACCCGCCACCCCTTGCCGAGGAAGTCCTTGAGCTTGCCCATACGGATGGCGAGGTCATTCGCCGCAATGGCCCAGTTGAGCTCAATCTCCTTGAGCTTGCCCGCCTGCCTCTCGCGCGCCTTCTTCTCCTTCGCCTGCGCCAGCAGCCGCAGCCTCTCCTCCTGCGCGTGCACGATCCTGCACAGGGCGAACGGCACCTCCGCCCGCGCGGGCCGTGCCTTGGCCGCCTGCCCGTCGGCGCTGGGCTTCTTCGGGTCCGGCGGGGTCGCGGCCTTGATCATGCGGAGCGAGTAGCCCTCCTCGAGGTCTTCGATGATGGCGCGCGTCAGAAAGGGGCCCTTGATGCCTGTGGCGTCGTCGACGAGCATGATCTTCTTGTCCTTGATCTCGAGGTCTTGCGGGAGACGGTCGGGGGCCACCTTGCCGCGACGGCCGCCGGGGCCTGTCGGGCCTGAGGGACGGGGAGGCGCCGAGAGGAAGCGTGTCGTAGATAGAGTGCGGATAGCTGATGGTCGCGTAATCGGAGGTGACCCGTTCTTGCGAGCATGGGCGCTGGCGAGCGCGAGGCTTCGTGATGCCAGTTTTGATTGAAGAGACTCAAGGGGAGACACGAAAACCCGGTAAAGGGCGGATTGGCTGTTGTAGACACATCTGGCTGTCTTCATGTCGTCGAAAGCCTGTCGCAGCTGAGTCAGGAATGGAGGATGCGCAGGATTAATGAACGTGGTCCAGCAATGAAGTTCAGGGCTGGGAAGTTAAAGATTCTCTGAAGCTCCGTGGCCCATTGCACTCGTCGGAGGCTCCTAACGTCAGAGTGGACCCTGAAACCACCCGTCCGAACCAGTCAGAGTCCTCAATCGCAAAAGCTCTCCTGATCCAAGCTCCCCTCCCTCCTCGACCTCAACTCCCTCTCATCACTCATCTGCTCGTCAGGATCACCTTCATCACATCCCTCTCTCTCTTTGCCCATCCAGGCAAACCTCGCGCAGCCCGAGCATGTAAACCCCGCAACCATGGCCCCCGGCCCCTTCGCCCGCTTCGCCGCGCGCCAACCCGGCCGCAACTCCCTCCTCCTCTTCCTCGGCACCTTCAAGGCCCTCGCCGCCGCCCACCTCCTCATAGACTACGGCTACCGCACCGGCCCCGCCCAGGGCGCCTCCATGCTCCCCACCTTTTCCATCTTTGGCGACCACTTTCTCATCTCGCACCACCACCGCCGCGGCCGCGGCATCCGCGTCGGCGACCTCGTCGAGTACAGCATCCCCATCTTCCGCAACAGCCGCGGCATCAAGCGCGTCATCGGCATGCCGGGCGACTACATCCTCATGCACACGCCGGGGGCGCCCGTGGCCGAAGGCGCCGAGCCCTACATGATGCAGGTGGGTGAGCTTCGCTGGTTCTGGACCCGGCATCTACTGACAGGTCAACAGGTTCCGGAAGGCCACTGTTGGATCGTTGGCGATAACCTGCCCAGTTCGCGAGACTCGAGGACCTTTGGACCACTGCCCCTCGCATCTATACACGGCAAGGTCATAGCCAAGGTGTTACCTTTGAAGGAAGCGGAATGGATAGAGAACCCTTTAGATGAATCACAGTGAAAACACAAACCGTGCGTCTTCGTCACATCAGTGCTGCTTTGATTGCACATCAGACGACACGCGAGTCAATTCCTTTGGCTCTCGCAAAGCCGCTCTAATTACAACTGCGTATCACGAAACAAGCGCCGGGTGGTAGGGAACCGGCCAGCGAGGCCGTAAATCCATCACCCCCCTGCGGAAGAAGACAGACGACGAGCCAATCCGGGTCGCGGTCATAATGCATATCGCAAAAAAAGGAAAGAAAAAAAGACAGGGCAGGTTGCATCTCTCCTTCGACAACCTCCACCATACGGTGCATATTCAGCTCCATAACTCTCATACAAACAAACCAGTCGCTCCCCCTAGAATGCCGCCACACCAGAAAAACAGAAAAAGGTAAAAACAAAGAGCTCACGCATCGGTATAGTAATGAACGCCAGGAACTCCTCGCCATCTGGCGCCTTGGCCCTACGCAAACACAACCCCCAGTTTCGAGGAAGGAGAAGAGATTTGGCACTTGCAGCTGGTTGCTCTTAACCCTCAATGTGGGTCTTGGAAGTGCTCTGTCCCAGAAGCTCGAGGCAGCGTTGCGCGAGCGTGACAACCTCGCCCTCATCGTCGTCCTCAAATTCGTGGTCTGGCTCTACGTGGCGGTTGGCCGTCTCCTTGATCTGGTCGACAACATCCTCGGCCTGACCGATGAGTTGAATCAGAGCCTTGTCCTCGGACTCGAGGAGCTGCAGCAAGGTCCAGATCGCGATGTGCTGGAATGTGGCATCACCGCTCTGCAGGAATCTGGTCAGGTAGCCGTGAATGCCGCCGTGCGGGTCTTTCCAGTCTTGGACGAAGACAGAGTAGTCGCCGACTAGAGACACTGGTTAGTAAACCGTAACCCCATAAATGCCAAGTGCAGGGGAACAAAGTACGAACCCTTGGAGGACAGGTTGCCGAGCGCAGCGGCACTGTTACCCTGAACCTCGATGCTCGGCGAGCTGGTGAGGGGAATGAGGACTGCGAATACGCCCAGGTTGAGCAAGTGAGACTTCAGCTCGTCGCTGAGTGCGAGGACAGCGATCGCCGCCGTCATCTCGGACTGGACGGTGACGGGCACATCGAGAACTAGCTGCTTGCATTTCTGAACTGCACCAGCCTCGAGGACCAGCGCCTTGTTGCGGTCAGAGCTAGCAGCCAGGTTTCTCAAGGTCGAGATGGCGTGACACTGGATTTCCTCGTTATCGGTAGATCCGAGGAGGTCAACGAGGGGCTTCAGGAATCCGGCTTCGATGATGGGCGATTCGTTCAACGGGTGAATAGAAATGTTGCGAATGCAGGCAACAGCCGAGAGAATGAGCGGAAGGTACGATGACTGAAGGAGGCGCAGCAGAGGAGCCAGGCCATTGGAACGGACGATATCAAGCTGGTACTTCTCATCGGAAGCCAAATTTCGAAGAGCAAGTGCTGCCTGGCACTGCACTTTTGGCGAGGACGAGTCCATCAGGGCGACCAGCGACGAAACCAGCTTGGTCTCGCTCTGGGCTAGCTTGCGTCGGTTGTTGCCATCGACGGCGATGTTGCTCAGGGCAGTCGTGCAGTAGTACTGGACGTCGACGTCGGAGGAGGACAGGAGCTGAACAAGAACAGGGATGGCGCCGGCATTAACGAGTTGTTGTCGGTTCTCGTCTGTGATGTGTCAGTGGCTGTGGGAAAGCGGCCCTGAAGGGCACTTACCAGAGTGCGTCATGTTGAGAAGAGCACCAGTCGCATTGCGCTGCACTCGCATGTCCTTGGACTTTGCCAGTCTCGTCAGAGGGCCGAGGGCGCCGGATCGCGCGATCTTGGCTTTGTTGTCTTCATGTGTCGCAAGGTTTGTGATACACCCAACGGCGTTGCACTGGACTTCAACGTTGGTAGAGAGCATTTGACGAATCAGAGGTTGCAGGCCACTCATTTGAACAATGAGGACCTTATTTTCCGCTGGCGGAGGGTCAGTTTGCGCACCGCAGACTTCGGCCAGCCACACTCACTGTTGACGGCCAAGTTGCCGAGCGCGGCGCTGGCAGCACGCTGGACCTCAATATCGGAGCTGTTAAGCAAGAATAGAATGGGCTCGAGGGTGTCTCGGTCGACCTCTCGAACATCTGGGAAAGTTTCGTCAGCACAAGATCTATGCTCCTAGGGAGACCAGGTCGGCTAGACCGATACGTGTAGATCGGCCAACAAGATTGGAAACCCCAGGATTCAACGGTGCCATCCAGCTGAACGTACCTCGCTCCGTGATTTCAGCAAACGTAAGGCTGGCACTCCGTTGTAGGTCGATATTCTCGGAGAAAACTAGGGTGCTCAGAGCTCGCAGAGGCTCGCCGGAGAAGAAATCAGTCTCGCCCCGCTACATTGTGGTCAGCACAAACAGGAAAAAACGAGGGGTGATGCGCCAAGAATTCATACGTTTTCGAGGTATTGCAAGAGGTCGGCAACGGCTTCTCTCTCGCTGTCGGCAAGTACGGGCTCGTAAAGGCCATCGCGGGGTCTGCCTGCAAAGTCATTATGATCAGCAGCCGTCGTCGTCATGCTCTGTCCCTCGATGTCTTGTAATTACCTCCGCAGCAAGAGCTACAATTACCCATCGCGGGCGGTAGGCAACGATGGCCGGGGAAAGAGTATTGTTAGTTCAGCGACAGTCTGGGATGTTGTGTTTTGTTGAGGGCGGTTCGCGGGTGGTGCCCAGGAATGCGTCGGGAGGCGGAGCTGATGACGGGGTTGGCGACGTCGTCGAGGCTGCGGCAGGTACCTGATCAGGTTTGCTTTTTCGGGAAATGTACGAAAGGAAGGAAAAGGCGGCGTGTAGCCCGTGGGTCTCGCGACGGCGAGGGGTCGGATGGCGAGGATGCTCGAGAGGATGAATGGTGTTGATACGATGAATGTGGTCGAGGCAAGATTTAGGGCGAAAGAAGGAGCAGCAATGAATGCTCTGTTGCGTTGTCAAGGTTGACGCTCCACCACAGCACAGGAACCCAGGAGCAAGCAACAGGGAGCAACGAGCAATGATGTTGAGTGGAGCAGCAGCAACCGCGCACCAGACCCAAGGGTGGAGCCCCTCCTGCCCAAGCCTCGACGAATCTGTGTGCCTGTGATTGGCAGGCGGCTGCTGCACATGTGGGACGGGGAGAACCTTTGAGATGGTAGCCCAGAGCCTCGCTGCTTTAAGCTTGAGCCGGGACTGAGAGGGCCCTGAGCTCGCCATCAAAGAGGATTCTAAAACATTGAGCTTGTGGGTGAGTATACGGATAGAGCTTTAGCCTTCAGTGATTGCCTTTTTCATAGGAGTAGTCCGTTGATCAAGTTTCTGTTGCGTCGCTGTGGAGTTGCTAGTCTGCTGGGTGTAGGTAGGTTCTGATGTCCCTGGGAGCTATGCTAGTTTCCGAAAGGCGAGTCACTTTTACCTGATCTTCTTCAATCTGGACGGTGTCGTAGGCTCCAGATGCTTTCGTGCAAAGACTCACTGGCTATTACTGAGGATAGATGCCCGGTTCTGCGAGCAGTGGTCCTTCTTTGGCGCTCTTGGGATGCATTAAGGGGACGACAGGATCGGTCATACGTACGTACCTAGGTACCTAGGTACCTACGTCTACGTAGGTACCTGAACTATTAGCCGTCCGCTCTTATCCCAGTGTGATCGCCCTATGGTGAACGCGTAGGCCTTTACTGCCGCCTGCACAATTGATAGACTCGAATGGAGCACCCCCAGATTCAGAGTCCAGCTCCGGGGATAGAGAGTTGTCGGGGAATAGGCTGAAAGCCCCTGCTGAGGCCGCAGTCCCCACGGCTCGGTCATGTGTTTCGGAGAGCTGGCCCTGCAATGTGGGCGACAACACGCGACGCGTCAAGGGGGTGGTCTGCTTAGTCACCGGGGGTCCCGTGAAACATTGAATTCACCTGTACCCGTGATTCGATTACGACCCCCGCTCATGCTCACCTCAGGGTTGGACATATCCTTTTAGCTCAATTGGATAGCTGCCGTATGGCACTTACGACCGTGTGAGGGCTGTCACTAAGCCCCTTTGGGGCCGACCGTAACAGGCATTTCATGAACTCTTTTGACTATGCAGTAAGTAATGATACCCTAGTGTAGCACCTTCTACAAATCCTACTAGTCAACATATTTGATTCTTGGCCAGAGAGCCTTGCGCGTTCATTTGTCATGTCCATGTGCTGGTGAGGAGTGTCATAGGAATCTTGTCAACGTTTGGTAATCTCTGGTCCAGGTTACGCAACCCCCAGCCAGTGTGAGCACTTGGAAACTGCACAGAGAGGTATGTGGTCATGAGCAATGTTATCAGTGTAGTTGTCGAGCGAGTATGCATCCGGATCATCATGCAACAATCGTTTAGGCCTAAAGATCAAGGCAAGCCAAATTACCTGTCTTGCAGAAAGGTATTTCTTCACCAAGTCAAGAACCTGAAACACGTGGGCTTATGTACTTAGATCGTAGTTCGTACAAGGTCCGGACCAAATCCTGCTGATCGGGCCAGGTTGGTGAAAGGTCAACCATCTTGGGTGGTCGAATCATCGAGTCGAGTACGTCAGAGGATATGATTACCCTTCGTTCAGTACACCAAGGCGCCAGCTTAGATCTCTAACCCAGATCATCCCTCCCGGAGGTGAGCAAGTGTATCCTCGAGAAGCCCGTATTTCGGGAGGATTTCCCCAGAGTTGCCCTCTGGCGCCGAGGTGCTCTGCATTCACGGTCCTGCGGGGTTCGGCAAGACCGTCCTGAGTCGAGCCTGAGCAAGAGCGGCAAGGGCGCTAACCTGATTAGTCCACCACCATGGGGGGCTTAAACCGATAACCTGGCAAGTGCTCACCTCGACCGGACCTGCAGCACACTGCACGTCCCAAAACTATGGCCCACTTTCCCTCGGGAGCCTTGGGAGCTCCCCCCCAGCTTGCCAACCTTCAGTGAGTGTTGCGATGTTTTAGTGCTTGGCGCCCTGAAGAGACAGAAGGCTCTGAGCACGGGCCATCTGTTGTTGCCCTCGCATGCCTGCCTGTCTTCATTTGGGCCGCTTCACCCTATGGATTCTGCCCCGATTCGCTGTGAGGTAGGGACCTAGGTGCTGAAGGCCGAAAGACGGAAAACTTCAATCACCAACAGAGCACCACGCCGAGCGGGATGAAGGACGGGCTCACAAAATGATTATTCAACTTTAGACTTTCAAGGTTATTCACGTACATTGCGGCAGTAAATCGGGAGCTCCCATGAAACATGAGCTCATCACCACAATCTTATCCTTATCTCCCGCAGCTGCCTTACCTATTTCCCTCGACAAAGCCCTCTTCCCACCAACCACAGCACGTACACCCCCCTCCAAAGGACCCCCCCCCTCCCCTCCATCTCGCCTTCCCCCTAGCCTCTGATCGCCCAGCTCCTCCTCGTCTGTCTGTCCAGTCTGGCTCATCCGTCGCTTGTGCCAGCCGACAGCCCACTCAACCCCCCTCCCAAAGCAGTACCAGATTTCCTGCAGGCCTTGCTTTCCGGTTGATCAACTTCGCCTTTCGACTCATCAACGTCCGAGAGCAGGTGTACAAACATCGTCGAGTTTTCAATCTCGCCAGCGTTACACGACAGCTTGGTAGACGGGCGCATGCGCCAATCACTAGCTCCCACAAGTCCCCTCCGGCTCGGTACGACCGACGATGCCTGACCACGACATGGACCTTGAAAATAACCCCGCCGCGGCCGCGCCCGCCGATTCTGGAGCTGAAGCCGGAACTGTCCCTGGGCCTAGAGTCACGGTTGCAGCAGAAGTGGCAGCAGCAGCGTTCCCACCACCACCACCACCACCACCACCACCACACATCAGAAGCAGCGACAGTACCACCATCGTCTTCAGGCCCAAAGCCCAACGCCGGCCCCAGTGGCAGTGGAACACAGGCGCCTCCCGTCTTCGCTACCGCGGCCTCGATTGCCAGACCGAACGCTTCCTCCTCCTCTGCTTCCCAGTCCCATCCCCAACCCCACGCTCACGCACCCCAACTCTCCGCCCCAGCGCCAACACACGGTCAAGGTCACGAGCTTCCTTTCGTCACACCCTCCTCCTACCTTCGCCCCAAGCCCGCCCCTTCGGCGGCCGCTGCGCGCACAGAAATGACGGCGAAACCCCTAAGCCCGCTCGATAAGGAGCAGATGCAGGGTCTGGTAAGAGCTTACCCTTGCCTGTCTTGTCCCCCTCTGTCTGCCATGTCTCGTGCTTCATCTCGTACTCTGTCCGCACGGAAGTCTGCGAAGCGCGGGGTCGAATGCCCTTGAGACAGGTTGACCGCCCGGGTGCAACCTCCGTGACGACTAGATGCGACAACCGGCCCTGTCGTAGCAACTCGTAGCACCATATGCTGACCACTGCCTCGCCCGTCCTAGAGAGCCATTCGGGAGTTCCTCAAGGTCCGAACCAGTTACGACGTCCTGCCCCTGTCCTTCCGATTGATCGTGCTCGACAACGACCTCCTCATCAAGAAGAGCTTGAATATCCTCATCCAGAACTGTACGCTGCCTGCCGACCCCGCATTCTCCTGCTGCTGTCGCGTGCGTGTCCTAACCAGCCTTGCCAGCAATTGTTTCTGCCCCGCTATGGGATTCGCATTCGTCGACCTTTGCCGGCCTGTTGACGGCGACCGACTTTATCAATGTCATTCAATACTACTGCCAGTTTCCTGACGAGATCAGCAAGCTCGACCACTTCCGACTCAGCAGCTTGCGGGGTACGAATCGAAAGGACTCGACAGGAAGAATGGGCAATGCTAACCACGACCGCCAGATATCGAGAAGGCTATCGGCGTGTCTCCACTCGAGACCGTCTCAGTCAACCCTATGCGCCCCCTATACGAGGCATGCCGCCGCATGTTGAAGACGAAGGCCCGCCGAATCCCCCTTGTAGACCTCGACGACGAAACGAGGAGGGAGACTGTTGTTAGTGTCATAACCCAATACCGAATCCTCAAGTTCATCGCCGTCAACAACGAACACAACACAGTCATGCTGAAGAAGGCGGTCAGAGATGTCGGCCTTGGTACATGGGGCCACATCGCGACGGCACACATGAGCACCTCCGTCCTCGACGTCGTGTCCCTCATGGTCAAGCATGACATATCGTGCGTTCCTCTGGTTGACAAACACAACCGACTACTCAATGTCTTCGAGGCGGTCGATATCATTCCCTGCATCAAGGGAGGAGCATACGACGACCTGTCTTCCAGTGTCGGCGAGGCACTCTGCAAGCGACCGGACGATTTCCCGGGCATCTACACCTGCGGCCCCGAAGACCGGTTGGACTCCATTTTCGACACAGTGCGCAAGTCGAGAGTGCATCGCCTCATAGTGGTGGACGATGAGAATCGATTGGTCGGCATCATCTCCCTATCCGACATTCTCAAGTATGTCCTCCTTCACGGAGAGGAGGACGACTTGAGGTAGGGGCTCCCTGCCAATCAGCTACACATGACACGCAACGACCATGATGGATGACGGACAGTAGAAGGGAAGGGGACGGAGCACAGGGATCGGGACGGGAGAACAGGAGAACAGGAGAACCAGGATATGGGGGGGTGGAAAGATCTTTGATGCATTTTCTGCACGGCGTCTGAGAAAACGGGCTTCGCTGGGAGGAACCTGGCCAGATGCACGGTTCGCATCCAACGTCTTCCGCCTTTTTCTTTCCTTTGTCACACGCTATAGAGGACCTGCTCACCTGCATGAGAGACGGTCCAGATGATCGCTCAATGTTTTGATCTGAAAGGGTGGTCCGCGGTATTGAGGCTCGGGATTCAGTTGAATCTAGTCTGTTGTGGAACCGTTGTCCCTTTCATTTTTTGTTCGCAAGCGCTGATCGTGTGTGCAGACTGACGGAGATAACCTAGGTCCTTGGATAGGTACCTTCTGCTGCGGTACTTCCTGTTGGCGATTGTGGCGACTCGACAAGAGCCCAACCAGCTGCAGACTATAAACAGCGTGTGGGAGGGCAACTGCAAATCTCTTGTCAGAAGCAGGAAGGTTCGATTCACAGGGCGGAGTCACACCCTTGACAGACTGCAGGTCAGGAAAGAGCACTTTACCTTGGTCGCCAGGTTGGCTCGGGTCAAGACGCGAACGAAGAGCATAAGCAGGCATCTTCCCATCATGGCAAGCTCTCTACAGCGGCCACGTTATTTCACCATCCACAGATCTTCAACAGCCACGAGGACCGGCATCTCCGTCTTGCAGGTTTTGACATACCCCCTTAGACACCTTGAATACCATCTTGGCACCACTGCCCTCTATTACCTGCATTTTTCCTACCCACACGACTTACGCATTGCAATCTCTCGTTATGCAGTCTTACAACAGAGGTTCGGGCTGCGTCCCCAACCCATCCTTCTCGACAAAGTCATCGAAAGAAATAGAGTCGGAAACTCAGAAGAGCCACGCCGGCAGCACTGCGCCTACGAGCTTCCTCGTCCCTCATAGCATGCCGGTTTCCAGGCAGTCGTCTGCGTCTCGCTATCCGCGTCTTGCAAATTCGGACATCGTCCCTGCGCCGTTGACCGGGTCCGGTCGCAGGACCAAGTATTTGCAGAGCAGCGCGACGTGGACGTCATCCAGCGGCGACCTGGCCATGTTTTCGGACACTGATGAGATTGAAGACAGGCAGCACTTTGTGGTGGAGTACAACAGGTTGGCTAAAAAGGTTCAGTTGAGACTGGTCTCCGTACGGCTCTGAAGTTGCTAACCGGAGGTGAAGCATGGGATCCGTGTCCTAGTGACGGATGATTTCGTAAAGGGAAAGGTGAGACGCCTCTGTATTGTGCTGAAGCTTTACATTGATGGGAATTAGCGAGACACATACCCCTCGACCATGACGGAGAAGAGGAAGTGGTGGTCGAAGATACTGCGGACGCCGTCTACCGAGGAACGAGAACACACGGAACAGGCTGCCGGCCACATACCACGTCATCGACGGAGCGTCAGTGATCTGGCTCTGAAGATGATGCATGGTAGAAAGGAGCCGCAGAAGCGACTGAGTCTACAAACCATGGTCAGACTTGGTGGAAAGAGCATGTTTTATCTTCCTGCCGAATATGCTCCAGGGGCCTTAATGCTCCCAACATGCATTCGGGCCACAGCGCAGTACCTCGCGCAACATGGTATGTTCGCTCTGATCATCCTGTTCAGCAGTACTGACGCCATAAGGTCTCGTGACTCGCGGCGTCTTCAGAATCCCCGGCTCACAACGCATCGTCAATGCTCTCTTCGATTACTATTGCTTCGAGGGCCAGAATGAGGAGGTTGCCCGTACTGTTCGATGCCCGAACCTTCCAACCCACATCAACGCTGGCCCTCACGACATTGCATCGGCATTCAAAAAGTTCCTCGGAGTTCTGCCTGGAGGTATCCTCGGATCACTAGGCTTGTTTGACGCGCTTGTTGCCATCCACAGTCAGTCTCGTGCCGAGCCCGAGTTCATCAGAACGAGGCAAACCAAGATACGAGGTCGATTGATTGCACTGGCCATTGGAACTCTTCAGTCACAATTCCATCGCGAGCTCGTCTGTGCCGTCTTTGGTCTGCTCTCTCTCGTAGGCCGTCAAGCAGAGATCGCGCCCCACGAGGATGGTCTGGGCCATCCTCTTCCAACATCTGACCTCATGGGTTACAGCGCCCTTGGTATCATATTCGGACCCCTACTCATTGGCGACCTCCTCGACACATACAACATAAGAGTTGCTCACCCATCCTCAGGGCTCCTCTTGTTTCCTATGACCCCAACAAAACTCAAGAAAGAAAGGTCGCGCAGCAAGACCATGGTTTCGGAACATTCTCCCACAGTCGACAAGATACTGATCGCCAACGAGATTGCTGAGATGATCATCACTCACTGGCGAGATGTTGTCAGAAATTTACGAAGCCTCTCTGTTCTGGCCGGCAAAGGGAGGAGCAAAGGAAACTCCGATGGAGATTTGGCTAGTCGGAGAGGTTTCTTGAGAAGCTCCGCTTCAGAGCCATTCAAGCTTAAACGGCCTCCTGGCTGGGAAGACCACAGTCCTGATATGCCAGGGGCCGGTCGTACTGGATCACCAACGCTGGATACGCCCACACCGGCTCAGAGTGTGTTTTGCCCTGAAAATTAGTCGTTCTTGATTCTGATTATGTTAACCGTGTGTTAGGGCGTGGAAGCTTGACGAGTCAAAGTATCTCCAACAGCACAGCCGACATTCTATCCATTCGACGGACCCGACCAAAGTCGTCTTACTCCGATTCGATCACTAAAATTCCTCCCAAAAGTTCACTCAACCCTCTCTCTCCAACAGCGGAGGAGAGTGTTTCCGACTATGGCGCGCAGAAATGGCCACCGGAGTCAACCTCGCGACAACATCTCCCAGGCACACAAGACCCAACATGTGCGACGTCAAACATGAAGCAGCCATTTCCATCAACCTTAGCAAAGATGATGACAGCCGCGAAGCTCAGCCCTGCCGGAAAGACGAAATCATCTGCAGATGGCACACCCCGGCAATCGGTCGAAGTGACTCGAAACAGCTGCACGTCTGGGAATAATCGTGCTATGCCGGCAACTCAGCCGATGACCACGCCAGCTGCGAAATCACGCAGTTCGCAGGATGCAACCAAACCTCGATCCTCTACAAAAGCCAGTCCGTCACTTCAGACCCTTCAATCTCGGATGCTCTGTCAATCAACGGGGAGCGAAGGAGGCGATGAGTCAGAAAACATTCCCCCTTCGCGACGTTCACCGGTACGTTCCCCCTTTGAAGCTAGCAAGAAGAGCGGTCTTCCGCAATCGGATTCAGGACTTGTGTCCTCGCGTCTCCGCCGTTTCATGAAGACGGACCAGGAAGGCTGGCCGGAGCAAGGAATTGTAGAACCTGTTCCCAGTCGAGGACAAGGACGTTCGTCCGAGGAGAGCAAAATCACGGCACGGCAGGTCGCAAGCTCAGCCCGCGGACAGGGGGAGCACCAAGGTATCCAGAAGAGCACCACTTTCCCGAAGCGTAAACCTGTTGCACGCAGCGCCGACGTGAGGAATTCGAGCCTCTCAGACCGGCGAGGCATCATTGCCGCCGACGTGGAGGTCGAGTCACGCTCGCTTGAGCAGCGGAACACCAGCGGGGCTGGATCCAACCAAACGGTCCGCATTAACAGCAATATGCACGAAGAGAGCGTGGCCGAGAGGGAAAAAGAGCGGGAGAATTCTATGCAGATTACACCAAAAGAGTTTTTCAAGGAGTTTGACGTTGCTATGAGGGAGCCAGTTCACACCGATGTGTCAAGAACAAATTCGCTGGAAGCTCAGTAGGACAATGCTTCCCCGAAGACCAATGTCACATCTACAAAACTGAGTTGCGCATCCACAACACGGACCGGCGGTGATCAAATTGGATTGATCAACTTCGCGAAAACCTCCGTATCAGCGCCAGGACTTGACCAAAGTCGGAGAGAAAGCTTGGCTTCGCAAGCCGCCGAAATGGCGCAGCGGTCAAGGGCGTCGACCATGCGAAGTTTCATAACACCTTCTCGATCCGAGAACCTGGCATTCTCCACTCCGAAGGCTGCTCTACGCAAGTCAGCATCGCGGCCTGGAGGTGTCAAGGCCATGGCGGCGATGTGGGAGGGAGCATCCAAGGACCCATCGTTCATCGCCACACCAGCACCAGCCACTCGAAAGCAGGTCGACACTGTCTCAGGGTCGGTCATCTCACCATACTCAGAAAACGTCACGCCGCCGAAAACAGTGCCACCTGTCAGGCTAACGTATGATCGTGCGTCAAGTAAAGGCTCTGCCAAGACGTTCGGCAGAGTATCGCTGCGGCTAGGAAGCGCAACGAAAAAGCCTCTGAGGCTATCAGCTAGTGATAGCACGACGCTGCGCGCAGCCTCCCGCCCTGAAGAAACATCACCATCAAGAGCACTTGCTGCTTTTCGGAAGATCCAATTGCGGCAGACGCCAGAGCTGTCCAAGAAAGAGGCAGCCTCTCCATCTGCTCCACTGCTCAACGATAGCCCTGATCATCTCCCAAGCCTCGGTACGATGGTTCCCCAGGAGGAAGAGCCGCCAGTTGACAGGCACATGAACTTTTCGCGGCCACCGTCTGCCGTATCGGGTGGCCCTCCTCATGGCCATGATCACGACAGTCATGACCCCGAGGGCGATCCTTTCCTACCAGTGCCAACATCAAGCCCTGTTCCCGGAGGGGGCAATTGCCTCTTGCATGCACAGATTCGAAGCTTGCAGAAGCAGTTGGAGGCCCGTGACGAGGAGGCGTCTTCGCTCCGACGGCAACTCGAGACGCGGGAGAACATGGACATTGGCACACTGAGCGAGCAGCTGCGGGAGGCCAAGCGAGAATCGGCCATGTGGAAGTCACGAGCCGAAGCGGCAGAGAAGCGGCTGGCAGTGTTCGAAGGCTTCACCATGCGTCTTCGGGACATTCGGGTTCCACAGGTGGATTCGGAGGCTGCAGCTGATGACGAGGCGGCTAGGGAAGTACATGAGGAGGGGCATGAATCTGACGGCAGCACTAAAACGACCCGGACAGAGGAGATTGGTGTTTTGACCAATCGTATCCGTCAGTCGTTGAAGGGGTTGGATGGTGCCAGGAGCTCGAGCGCCGCCAGCAGCACGACCAGTGACGGGGGCGCTTCGGCGTGGTGGAACCAGCCGAAGCAGGACGGCGTCGGGCTTGGCCCTAGCTCTGGAGCAAGATTTGCACACGGCGGCGGACGCATGCCGAAGGATGTGCTGGAGATTGCGGAGGAAGTTTGGGCAGCAGCGCAAGAGCTGTTGGGGCATGAAGGTGCGACATGGGAGGAGCGTGAGGGGCATCAGGCGTGATGAAGGTGTTGGCACGTGGAAAAGTCTAGGGGCCATGGCCTGGAGGGAAGAGGAGGGAAGAGGTTGTGGCTGGTGACTACTGCCGGTCGAGGACGACGTGAAAAGTTTACTTATTTGGCTTGCAGCCGTAGTTGTTTGGTATCGTCAAATCAGGGTTTGCGTGTCACATGGTCAGCAGTGATGCTTGCACACAGTCCATCAGTCACCACATGCAGCGCAGTCCTGTGGCGTCACCCTCCTGCAGAAACAGGACGACGTGATATCGACGTCTGCCACCCGGAGGAGCGCCTTCAACGTGCCCTCGACGGCGCGCGCCTCGTCCGACCTGCCCAGTCGAACAAGGCTCTCATGGTATCCGTGCAGCGCCCACACGTTGCCGGGATGCTGCAGCGCGCGCGGCAGCCTCTCGGCGCCGTGGTCGTCGATGCCAAGATCAGCCGCGTACACGGCCAGCGCCT